CTATACGCTGGGCTGAGGGAGGAGTATGCTGAGCTCTTCCACAGTCCCGGCCACGCCTTGCCCTCCCTGGCCGCCTTCCTCGGCCAGGCCAGGCAGGGCCGGCTGGCCCGGTTTGCCGACCGGTGCCATGAGGAGCATGCTGCTGCCCTGGCACAGTGACTCCCTCGGTTCCCTTGAGTAGGGCCCAGGCATCTTTTGCCCGGCCTTGGCTCCCGACCCACCCCCTCCCCCCGCAGGTAAGAGCAGCGTCAGCGTCAGCAAGCAACGGTCAGCGGCAGCCCCACCACCCCCACCTCCGCCTCACACACTCACTGGCCCCTTGCGCGATGGCACGCCGGCATGTTGGCATGGGAACGCCAAGCCCGGCACGGTAGCGGCGGCTGACTGAGTAATGGCACAGCCGACCGCCGCGGCAGGCCACTTTGCACCCTTACATGTGCAGCCTTCTGGTATTTTCATGTGCCTGGGAGATGTGCGGGCATGGGGGCCCATGTGCCCCATGCCATTTGAGTGCCCGGCGGCGGCGCTGCCTGCCGCCGGGAGCCCGCACCAGCATCGGCACCCGTCGGCCTGGCAGGCCTAAGCTGCTAAGGATCCCCACGTCCCCCACCACGTTGTGGGGGTTGCGTGTCCGGCAGGACGGGGAGCGGGGCCAGGGTGGGGTGACCCTGGGACGCTCAGCTGGGGGGAGGGTGGTCGGAGCCATGGAGAGGGTGCTCCATGGTCCACCCCCTCTCTTGATGCCCCTTGATCACGTGTGCCCCCTGCCCAAGGTCTGCTCACGCGGCCTATCATAGCGGGGTGACTGTAACACAGGGTGCTCAGGATGCCAGCCATCTGGCCCAGAGAGCAGAAAGTGATGGCAGAGCCCAGGAAGTCAAGGTCTGCAAGAGGCAAGCAGGGGGCGCGACGTTGTGGAGGGAGCTGCCCAGAGACGTGGGGTGCAAAGCAGGAGTCGCACGCCTGCAGCACGCCTGTGGCATGCTCGCCGCATCCCGGGCACGCTGCGGGCTGCTCACACAGGAAGGTCACCAGCGCGCCAGTCAGCTTGCCCACATGTCCAGCCCAGTTGAAGCTCAGCGAAAATGCGGTCTCTGCAGGCAGGCAGCGGGTGCACACCATGTCAGGCTTTGGGCAGCGCAGGGGGTGGATGCTGCTGGTGTTGAGCGCTGCCTGAAGCTGCCTGTGCATTAAGCAGGCGCCAGCGGCGGGCTGCTCACCAGAGAAGACTGGGGCGTAGGCCACCTTGTCTGGCACCAGGCCGCCCTCCGACACCTTTTCCGGGAACACAATCCAGGAGATGAAGGTGGTGAACAGGACGCCCATCATGAACGCAGAGGGGACGTTCCAGAGCATGAGGATGGCTGCAGGAAGTCACGCAGGGGTGGGGACGCAGGTGACGCAGAGTCGTTGTGGCGTCGGGATTACCAGGAATGGAAGCAGCCAGGCATGCCCCACGCAGGAGCGGCAGGCAGCGCAGCAGAAGCCGGGCGCGTCACGCACTTGTGAACACCAGGCCGCCCACGGCCAGCCAGGGGCAGACGGGGCCGAAGGGGGGCAGGTTGAGGAGCATGACGCAGGAGTTGAAGCCGATGCCGGTCTGCACAGACCCATCGCCCCAGCCGGTCACAGCATACTGGGTCTCGGTGTTGAGGCGAAGCAGGGAGGGGTACTTGTCGGCCACGACCACGCCCATGCCCTTCCAGCCTGCACGCACGCGGCCGCGAGGGTGAAGCAAGTGAGCCTCGCCCACGGCCCATGCTGGGGCTGCCGCGACAACACGCCCGCAGATAAGCACGATGCGCCACCTGCAACGTTGCTCACCGACAAACATGATGAAGATGCCGATACCGCAGGCGCCGGCGATGAGGATGCAGCGGGCAATCCGGCTGCAGCGCAAGTGTGCCAAGCGAGGCAGGTGGTGGGGGTCAGCCAAGCGGAGCAGCAGCAGGGTGGAGCGTGGCATGCCGCCCTGCTGCATGCCAGCTCCAGCGACACAGCGTGTTGTGCCCCGCATTGCAAGTCGTGCACCGCTGGCTCACCGCAGCAAAAAGGCGCGCAGGCCGGTGATGCAGATGAGGAAGAAGACGACGCCTTCCAGGAAGGTGGCACAAAGGGCGGTTTGGTAGGAGATCTGTGGGTGGGCAACACGAAGGCAAGCAATGGTGGAGAGGCATCCACAGGCTGCGGCTGGCAACTCTCAGCTTGTTCTGCGGTGGCAGGCAGCTCGGCGGGTGGCCACAACTCACCTGGGAACCCAGGCACTCGTTGGTGGTGCCAAAGCAGGGGCCCGGGTTGTCAGCCGTGCCGATCTGGTCAACAATCTGCTCGCGTTGGTGCCCGTGGAGCAACTGCAGAAGCAGCAGCGAGGCATTAGGACATGGCAAAGCACAAGCAGAATGGGTCGGACCCATGCATGTTGCCTGAATATTTCCAAGCATGCTGTGCTGAAGGGCGGTGGGAAGGGGCGTGTTTTGCTCACGTGCATGGTTCGCCAGCACACAGAGGGTCTCCCTGCCTGAAGAAAGAGTTGTAGCCTGCAGGTCACGAGGGGAGGTGATGGCTGGTGGGCTCCAAGCATAATGTGGGGGACCTACCGCAGCTGCGGTGCACTCTCCGTAGCGCATGCATCGGATCTGCACCAAGCAGGGGGGCGCCCAGCGCTCTTTGCGCCAGCCACTCGCCATCGGGAATGCACTCACCACAAATCTCCTGACCCAGCACAGAGTCAACAAAGTAGTTATTGGTGCCGAGCTGCACGCCCAGCACCCTGCAGGGAGGCAGGTGCAGGGCAGCGGTGGCCGGTGACGCGCAAATAGCAGAGGGCTTGCAACCCGCTCGGCAATCGGCCTTGGCCAGGCGGGTTCAGGCAGGGTGTGCCTCGCTACACACGACGGTTGAGCTCACCAGGGGTAGTTGCCGAACAGAGCCATGAACAGAGTGCCAGTGCCCGAGGAAATGCTGCAGTCGGGGCAGGGAAGGTGAGGGCCGGTCAGGGAGGACTGGGGCGCAAGAGCAGGCGGCGGCGGCTGTTGCAGGCCTGGAGGCAGCTGGCCCGCGGTTCCAGCAGAGCCCAGCGCGCTGCACTCACGCTGTGGCCAGGGCGACGTCGGTGGGAGGCATGCCCGTGTTGTAGCCAGACGCGGCACCACTGCAGGAGGCAGGGCGGGTGGACAGGCGCACAAGGACACGTCAGCAGCAACAGAGAGGCAGCCAGCGGGCAGGCAGCGGCTGCTTCCGCGGGCCTCCCGCAAGAGGCCAGGCCAAGGCGGGGCCTCACCTCAGGATGACTGGGTTCAGAAGCACGGAGAAGACGGAGACGAGGAAGAGGACGATGCCGGCGCGGGTCTCGCGCATCACGGTGCTGCCACGCTCCTTGATGCGGAACTGCGTGGTGGAGAGGGAGCCGGGAGGAGGCAGAGGCAGGGGAGAGGAGGGGTCACACGTCTGGTGCTCGAGGTGCAGGCGAGAGGGAGGGCATGCAGCGAGCTGGCTGCTAGCCAGGACGGTTGGGGGCCTTGGCTGGCCGGCCGTGTGTGGCGCTCCACAGCTGGGCTGCCCGCGGCCCGCTGATGCAGGCGGGACCGCCGTGACGGGCAACGGGGGCTGAGCGGCATCTGGCTTCCCGGGGGGGCTCTGCTGTCAGGCAGCCTTGGCTCACCTGCCATTCGAACCAGCTCTTCAGTGTCCAGCCCTCCTTGGGGGCAGGAGGCGGCACAAGGTAGCTGAAGTAGCCCATGGCGGCGGCGGAGTGGTCCCTCGGTCGGTCGGTAGCCAGCGGCCTGCGGCGGGACAGCACCAGGCTGAGGGGGCGGTGAGCGGCTGCAGCAGCACCCCCAAGTGGTTTGTGGTGCACCCCAAGGCCTCTGCAGGTGAGCCCTTCAAGTTTACAGCGCGCATGGGCGGAGGCAGCCCCGCAGCGACGGCTTATGTCGCTCCTTGCTGCCCGCAGGAGCGAGCGCGCATCTTACAAGCTTGTGAAGGCTGAGTGGGGGATGATAAACGCAAACACAGGCGCTGCAGAGCCGGCAGTAGCGGGCCTGTGCCTTTGCCTGGTGCTCACCTAGTTGCGCCTGTGAAGGGTGGCGCTGCAACACGCCAGAAACGAGGACAAAACAGCAGGAGAGCATGAGTGATCCCACTTTGGGCGCACGAGTTGCTTAGCTTCCGGCCAGGTGAGGCCTTGCATTTTGAGGCAAGACTGCCCCGCCCTCATGGCATGAAGCGAGCCAGCATCTACTCTACATCTACATTGTCTCCTCCCTTAGCCCCAGCAATTCCCAGGGCATCCGTGAGGTCCCAACATCCATCCTGACGCCTCACACAGGTAGGAGCTCGGGGATGGGCACAGGGGGATGGGATTTGTGTGGGGACCACTCTCCCTGTGGCTACCAGTCGCTCGCAGTGCCCCCCCAGAATGCCGCGTACTGCGCACACATGTCTGCAGATGGACAGCAGGGGCTGGGCCTGCCGCGCCGTGACGGCTGCGGGCGCCGCCGGCGCTGACGGCCCGCTGGCGGGGCTCGCGTTCGCAGCCAAAGACTCTTACAATGTGGGCGGGCGGGTAGCCTGCCCGTATGTGAACTGGTCCTCAGCCGAGCATGCCTGGCTGGCATGCTGGCAAGCAAACGGGCTCCCGCGGTAACTGCTCTGCAGGTGGCCGGCTACGCCACCGGCCTTGGAAACCCTAGCTGGGCAAGGGATCACCCGCCCGCCAAGACAACCGCACCTGCCGTCCAGGCACGCCCCTGCTGCATCCGCAACTCCTACTGCGCCAGTGAAGCACACCCCCTCGCAGCTGGGGTGCCCAGCCAGGTCTGCAGCACCAGCACCCCGCCACGGGCTGCTGACCAGCGCTGCAGCAGCGCAAATCTCCCCGGTGCTTGCAGGCGTTGCTGGATGCCGGAGCCAACCTGGCAGGCAAGGCTGCCATGAGCGAGCTTGCCTACGACTTCTCAGGCCAGAACTACCACTACGGCACCCCCCCCAACACCGCCGCCCCATGCCACATGCCCGGCGGCAGCAGCAGCGGCTGCGCGGTGGGTACCGCCTGCCCACTGCTCTTTCCCCTGGCTCGACAGCATAGCTAAAGTGGAAAGGCTGCCCTGCAAATCGGGACGCCTCGCCGCCAGCCCCTGGCCCTGCCCCTGTCAAACTGACAGCTGAAACTTTCCCTCCCTGTGTGTGCAGGCCCTGGTGGCCTCAGGAGAGGTGGCTTTTGCTCTGGGCGGTGACACTGCAGGGTCGGTGCGGGTGCCCGCCTCCTTCTGTGGCGTCTTCTCCTGCCGCCCCAGCCACGGCCGGGTCAGGTGGGGCCCGGCAGCCCGCGGGCTGCATTGATGTCAGCAGGGGTAGCCTGCTTGTGTGTGTGTACATGAGAGGAAGAGAGATGAAGACGAGAGGTGATCAGTGCGCTCGACTGATCTGCTCCCCTATCCGCGGTGCTTTCAGTTTGGAAGGCTCCGTCCCGCTGGCGCCATCCTTTGACACAGGTGCGGCGAGGCGGCGGCAGCGCTGTACTGGCCCGTCGCTTGTTGCCTTGTTTGCGGCTGTCACACTGCCCACCTGCTGCGCCTGCTGACCTGCCTGCGCTGCATGCCCCTGGCGCAGCTGGCTGGTTTGCGCGCGATGCCGAGCTGCTGTCGGCTGTCGGCAAGACGCTGCTGGCAGGTAGCGCCCCCGGCCCCGCGGTCGACAGCTGGAACCTGGTGGTGCCAGAGGTGAGGCGCGGGCTGCTGGGGCAGGCTGGCGCAGTACGCTTGGCGGTGTGGTGGCGCTTGGCAGCTCACCCGCCTCTGCCTCCTCCTCGGACTTGTCCTTCTTGAAGGTTGCAATCGGCCTGCGCCATCCCAACCATCCAATCATCCCTCCTTCCCTCCTTCCCTCCTTCCCTCTTCCCTTCGCTCCTGGCTTACTCTGCAGGATGCCCTGGCCCTCTGCAACGCCTCCGTGGCCTCCCTGTTTGAGAGCGGGTTCCTTGGGGAGCACAGCGTGGCGGTAATCGAGGCGGCGGGCAGCGGCATGCGGCGCGCCGCGCTGGCGGACGCAGCCACGGGCGAGCTGCTGACGTGGGCAGACGCCTTTGGCACGCTGCACGTGAGTGGCCCCTGGTGCTGCCCCGCCTGCCTTCGCTTTTTCTTCTTCTTCTTCCGCTGCTGCTGCTGCTGCTTTGGGCGGCAGGCAGACTGCCACCACGCCGGCACGTGTCGCGTGCCTGCTGGCTGGTGCTTGCGGTGAGAGCGAACTTTGTTTGTTTCCACACCTGCTTGCCGCTGCCACCTATCAGTGCTGCTGGCCCCTTCCCCTACCCTTGGCCCTGCAGAGCAAGGAGGTCAACGAGGTGCTTGGGCCATGGGTCTCCGGCCCAACCAAGCCCGCAGTCAGGTGCGCCCCCGTCTTCTTTCATCCAGCTTCCTGCACCGCCAACAGCCTTCCCGCCCAGCTGCACATGCACGCCACAGCGTCAGCCTACCTGCTGCCTCATTGGCCCTGCTGGCCGGCGGCCCCTCACCTGCCCCCCCCCCCCGCCATCCATTGGTGCAGCGCGGGCATCGCCCAGCGGCTGAAGGCGGCGAGCCTGGTGTCAAAGCAGGCGGCAGCGGCGGCGCGGCAGCAGGCGGATGCCATCACTACCCGCCTAGACAGCCTGTTGGGCACCAGCAGTGTGCTGCTGCTCCCAACCACGCCCTTCCCAGGTGGGCGCTTGCCACACGCGGTTTGTGCAGCTGCTGTTGCACACACACCATGCGTGTGTGTGTGTGTGCATCACTGCGTCAGGAGCCAGGCGCTGCCCACTCCCATCCCCCCATCAATTTTCTCACATTCGTGTGCCATCGCCCCCCCCTTTCTTGATGCAGCACCGCCGCTGGGATCAGACCTGGAGGCGCAGCCCGACAACGTTGGCCGCCTGATGGCGCTTACCAGCATCGCCAGCCTGGCAGGCCTGCCCCAGGTGTGAGCGCCCACCCTGCTGCCAGCACCTGTGCGGGCCCAGTGGGCGCCTGCCCGAAGTGCTGGTGTGTGCCTGGCAGGCCGCCCGCTGCTACCTCTTCATCGCTGCCCTCCCGCCATCCTCTGCAGGTGTCCATGCCGCTTGCAACCCTGGAGGACGGGTTGCCGGTGGGGGTGAGCATCATCGGGCCGCGCGGCTCGGACGAGGCGCTGCTGGCGCTGGCAGAGCGGCTGGCGGCGGCGGTGCTGGGGCCGCCGCCGCAGGCGATGAATGGCGTTCACTTCACGCCGCCCGTGTGCGCCGAGATGCTGCCGGAAGGGCTGAACGACCCGCAGGTGGGCTGCCTGCTGCTACCGGCCAGCTCGCCTCAGTGGCACGGACCGGGCATGCTTCCCTGCATCGTGCCCGCTGCCGGCACTTGAAGCCGTACTCCTGCCCTCCCTCTCCCGCCAGCTTTGGCCCCCTCTCCCACCTACCAGCACACACCGCTGACCCTGCTGCCTGGCCCACCCTTCTCCCTGACCCTCCCATGTTACCTTGCTCGCCCCGCCCGCAGGTCTGGCGCCTGCGCTTCATCGTGCAGTCACGGCTGGCGCCTGGGCGCACGATGGCCGACCACGCAGCCAACCTGAAGGACCACCACGCCTACCTGGAAGACCTGCGGGTGCGCGGCCTGCTGCAGTTCATGGGCCCCTTCCTCACCCCCGAGGCCGAGGACTGCGGCGACGGCTTCTTCTGCCTGCGGGCCGCCTCCCAGGACGAGGCCGCCTCCATCGCGGCGCAGAACCCCTTCCACCAGCGCAAGATCCGGGTGTACACGGTGCGCCCCTGGCTGGAGAAGATCCTGGACTAGCGGCCCCTGGGGCACGGCGCTGCTGCCCGCCGGCAGGCTGGCCTAGAGCTCTCCTCACACCCGCACCGGCAGCGCCCCCTCCCGGCGCGAGCGCCCGACTGGCTCTTGCAGCACTGCGGCTGGCCCCGGCGCAAAACCGGGGCGTGTGCCCTGGTCATGCGCCACGCCACAGCTTCAAACAACCCAACTCTCGGTCCCTGTACCTGACTGGCTTTTTTTCATCCAGACAGAGCTATAAGCTATACGTTTCGTACCTTAGTCTGCTTGCACAGTTGCCTGTACCACCACCAGATGCTGTACCCTCTCTCTTCCCCTCTCTCTCCCTCTCTCCTGCTGCTCAGTCACTTTTCATTCATCCCCTCCTTGTTTGCAAGACCGCGCCCTGCACTTCAGAAGCCTCTGCCAATCAGCTGGACTAACGTATCGTTTTCCCCCCTTTGCATTGAACCAATGGGTAGGCAAAATTTTGCGATTACAGCCATTGCCAAGTGCAACACTGTCTCAAAAGTGCAGCAGGCAATGCCCTCGGGGTGGTATCGGGCAGCAGGATGGTCCAAACACCGCTGCGAAACCGAAGGTGCAGCAGGCCGGGACTGATCATCACTGACTGATCATCAGTGGCGGCAGGATACAGCGCAGTAAGGGGCAGCGCACCCCTGCCAGCAGCTCTGTAATCCACGCCCCGATGCAGTTCCGCCATTCCTGTGCCCAGCAAGCCAGTCACTGAGTCCCAGTAACCCAGATTTTGTGGGGCTTTTTGCGGCAGTCTGGCAATGAACAACCTCATGATAATGGCATGATCCCCCTGCTGCTCGGTACACATACCAAACCCGTGGCTAAGCGTTGCCAAGCACGAGCTGCACCCGCCCTGCCGCCGTCGGCAATGCCCGCCTGATACATGAGGCCGTCCAACTGGCCCGGCTGCATCACCCTTCCAGCATTTCATGCCCCGCTGCAGCATTTGCAAGCCCCACCGCAGCAGGAGGACAAGCCTCTCAGTGTGGCCTGCATCCCATCTCGCCGTAGCGAGCTGTAGCATCGCCAGCGGCCTTCCACATTGTGCGGTGTGTTCCCGAAGGAGGAGGGAGTCGCTCAATGGGCGAGGGACGCTCCCCTTGGGATGTCCTGCACGGGGTACGGCAGGAAGAAGAGATAGCGCGCGTTCTCCAGCGGCACGTGCCTGCTGCATTGACATGCATGCATCTGCAATCGGCCCTGCAAGGCCAGGCTGGCCGCCCTGCGCCGAACTGATCGGCGGCCAGGAGCTGGCCCCCGCGCAGCTCAGGTGGTGACCGCCTACCTCTCAACAGGTTCTACCGGCAGCTAGGCGCGGCGCTGCAGCTCGGTTGATGGCGGTCACAGGTTGATGCCGCCGCCGCCACCCGCCGGCTACGCCCTGCAGGTGCTGCTCGACGCCGGTGGAGAAAGAGGACAGGCCCCGAAGCCCGCCTAGCCTTTTGGTTGCAGCCGCACACGAGGCCAGTGGAGGGGACCTGTGTGAGAGCCTGAAAACCAGCCCGCAACTCAGGCTTTCTCTGCGCATGCCACGCCAGGGCTTGCATTGTGCTCAGATTGCCTCCGCCTCCCCCCGGTGGCATGCAGCAGCAGCAGGGGATGACAGGCCATCACAAGCCTGCTTGCTCAGCTGTGGCACTGCGACTGGTGGCGCGCGATGGTGGCACAAGATGCGCTAGTTGCGTGTGCTTCAGTCCTGCCTCGCGCACAAACCAGGAGATGATGTGGCCCTGAATGCACCTGCCATCAGCATAGCTCCATGCCTGGCTGCCTCCCACCCGCACACAATCCCCAACCCCGTTGGCCAGACTCCCAGTGGTTTGACTTGCTCTTGCCATGCATGCCGAGCACAACACATTGTTGCGGTGCTGCGTCTGCAGGCGGAGGCACAGGCTATCGCGGTCAGGCCAGCCCTGGCCCAGTGTGGCGCACCGTGACGGCCTGTGCCTTTGCCTGGTGCTCACCTAGTTGCGCCTGTGAAGGGTGGCTCTGCAACACGCCAGAAACGAGGACAAAACAGCAGGAGAGCATGAGTGATCCCACTTTGGGCGCACGAGTTGCTTAGCTTCCGGCCAGGTGAGGCCTTGCATTTTGCGGCAAGACTGCCCCGCCCTCATGGCATGAAGCGAGCCAGCATCTACTCTACATCTACATTGTCTCCTCCCTTAGCCCCAGCAATTCCCAGGGCATCCGTGAGGTCCCAACATCCATCCTGACGCCTCACACAGGTAGGAGCTCGGGGATGGGCACAGGGGGATGGGATTTGTGTGGGGACACTCTCCCTGTGGCTACCAGTCGCTTGCTGGCCCCCCCAGAATGCCGCGTACTGCGCACACATGCCTGCAGATGGACAGCAGGGGCTGGGCCTGCCGCGCCGCGACGGCTGCGGGCGTCGCCGGCGCTGACGGCCCGCTGGCGGGGCTCGCGTTCGCAGCCAAAGACTCTTACGATGTGGGCGAGCTGGCAGCCTGCCCGTATGTGAACTGGTCCTCAGCCGAGATGCCTGGCTGGCATGTTGGCAAGCAAACGGGCTTCCCCGCTCACCGCCCTGCAGGTGGCCGGCTACACCACCGGCCTTTGGAAACATCCCTCCTTGTTTGCAAGACCGCGCCCTGCACTTCAGAAGCCTCTGCCAATCAGCTGGACTAACGTATCAGTTTCCCCCCTTTGCATTGTTTCAATGGGCAGGCATGAATTTGCGATTACAGCCATTGCCAAGTGCAGCACTGTCTCAAAATTGCAGCAGGCAAAGCCTCAGGGTAGTCTCAGACCATACTGGAGACAGCGCAGGCCGCCAGGCCAGGCCAGGTCAGCGCTTGCGGCCCCGGCCCTTGCGCACATTCTGCTTGGGCTTGAAGCTGTCCCCCTTGCCGATGGCCTTCTTGGGGCGGTGCTTCTTGCCCCACGCCGCCGCCGCCTTCTCTATCTCCGTCTCCTCCTCGCTGCACCACGCCAGGGCGGGCAGGGGCAGAGGGAGACAGCCGGGCACAGCTGATCAGCCACTGAGCCACACAGCCACGCAGCCAGCCAGCCACCGCCTGGCAAGATGCAAGCAGGCCAGGTTTTGAGGGGAGCCAGGCGGCGCATTCCGCCTCGATGCCGTCGCTCGCTGCTGCACGCTTTGCCTCCTGTCCCGGTCGGATCCAGCCAGGCCGACTCACTTTGCCTCTCCGCCCTTGCGCGGCGCCCGCAAGAAGCCCTTCACTGGGTCCAGCCCCTCGGTCTTGCGCCGCTTGCGGGCCGGCAGCACGCCCCGGCCTGCAGGCAGGGCAGGGGGCGGCGGGGCCGGGAAGCCGTTCAGGCAGGCGGCGGCGCAGAGGAGTGGCGCCTGCAGGAACAGGTGGCTTCTGCCCACCAACCCCACTGCACAGTTTGCCCCTCGGCCTGCACCTCCCTGCCGGCAGGCTGCTTCTCGAGCCGCCCAGCAGCGGGCGCCGCCTCACCGCTGTTGCCCACAAAGCTCTTGCCCTGCAGCGTCGGGTCCCGCAGATAGGCGGGGATGTGCTTGAGGTGGGCCGCCGCCGCCGCCGCGCCGCTGGCCGCCAGCGGCTTGTCGTGCTTCAGCAGGTTGAGGTCTGCGCAGCACGGCAGCGGAAGTGGTGGGGCAGGGGCGGGGGGCATCGCAGTGAGATGTGGGAGCTGCCCAGAGGGGGCGGCTGCCGCCCCGCAACCCGGGGCACCATGCCGCAACAGAAACAAACCAGTTGGGTGCGGCCATGCCGACCCCCACTGCTGCTGCTGCAGCTGCAGCTGGCTGGCGCATGTGCTTCTGCGGTGATGATGCTCCCCTGCTGCCGTTGTGCCCATGCTGCTCCTGCCCTGCCGCCCGCGCCCGCCTCACCGCTGGGGTGCTCCTCAAAGAAGGCGGCCAGCCGCTGCGAGTTCAGCAGCTCGTTCTTCAGCTCCTTGGCTCGCGCCTGCAGGGCGAGGTGAGGCGAGACGAGGCAGGGTGTGGGTTGGCGAGTGCGATGCGCCTGTGTGGCACTCAAACAAATGCGGGGTGAACATGTGTGTGCGGCCGTGTGCAGCGGCCCGAGCCGGCCTGCTGGGCTGGGCTGCGCAAAAAGAGCGAGCTAGCCGCTTGCCTCCTTGATGACGTTCTTGGTGATGCTCCTCGCCACATCCTCTGCCCGGTACCGCAGCCCCTCCACCGCCGCCTTGGTCAGCCGCTGGTGCGGCTGCAGGCCGGCTGCCGCGCCTCCCCCACCCGCTTGCCGCCGCTCCTCCTCCTCCTCCTCCTCCGAATCCTGACCTTGGGTGGCCGCCGCCGCTGCTGCTCCTCCTGCCGCGGCTGCTGCTGCCGGGTGGTCGCCGCCTGCCTCGCCGCCGCCGCTGTCTCGCAGCATGGCCGTCAGCTCGGCTGCCAGCGGGGCATCCGAAGGCGCCAGCAGGCTGATGGCGGTGCCAGCCTGGCCCGCCCGCCCCGTGCGCCCCACGCGGTGCACATACCTGCGGAGCGACGGGCCCAGCAGACGGCGTCAGACAGCGTAGCAGCAGCAGCGGCACGGCGGGGCAGGCTTGGTGCTGCGGCTTGCCGGCTCCAGACTTAAAAAGGTGCGGCCTGGCGCTGCCCACGCTCAGCAGGCACCCCTGCATGCAGCCTGACCCTCAGCTCGCTCCCCTTGCTGCTGCCACCCCCTGCAAGCTCACCCCTTGGTGCTGCCCGGCATCTCAAAGTTTATGACGGTGCGCACGCCCTTGAAGTCTATGCCGCGCGTCACCCCAAACTCCTCCTCCTTGCGCTGCCGCTTGCCGCCGACGGCCCCCTTCCCTCCGCCTGCGTCCCCTCTGCTGCCCTTCTTCTGCCGCTGCTGCTTGCTGCTGCCGGTGGAGCCGTCGGCGTCGCCCGCATGCACATCGTCTGTGGCTATGAGGTAATCAAACAGGCCGCGGTTGAACTCCTGCGCTCCACAGGAGGGGCAGGAAAGGGCACGCAGGTACGGCAGGCAAGCCGGGTTAGCTGGCAGGCAGGTGGGCAGCGCCCCCGGCAGGCATAGTGCTAGCACTGCAGCTCTGCCGCTGCTGCTGCCGCTGCTGCCAGCCACCACTGCTGCTGCTGACTCCCGCTGCCGCCGCCGCCGCCGCCAACCAGCGCTCGGCCAGCCCTGCCGCGGCCTTGCCTGCAGAATGTGGTGCCGCGAGTTGAGCGGCAGCTCCGCGCTCAGCACCGCCGCCGGCACGCCAAAGGCCTCGAGGAAGAGCCGCACCCTCATGCCGCTGTCGGCGCTGTTCACAAACACCAGCACCTGTGCATTGGCGGCGGCGGGGTGGGGAGGGTCAGGCTGGCGTGCGTGCCACCACCTGCCAGCTGCGCAGCACACCCGTTGCCAGCAAGTGCCTTTTGTCGACGCCCTGGTGGCGCCTGAGGCTCATAGCCCTGCCCTGCCCACAACCGAGTCCCCCAGCACCAGCCCCGCACCTTGCGCTGCACCAGGTTGAGTTTCAGCAGGGCCAGCAGGTGCAGCAGCTTCTCGGCGGCTTCGGTGGCCGCCCCGCCGCTGCCGCACCCCGCCGGCAAGTCCACACGAAAGTGCTCAATCTCGGCTGCCGCGCCACCCGCCGCCGCCGCCGCGCTGGCCTGCAAGGGTTTGTTGGCGCGGGGCCGCTCGGCAGCCGGGAGCCGGGGAAGCCAACAGCCGTGCTGGCAGCGTCCATGAAACACCTGCCGCCTTCCTGTCTCTCCCCACATTGCCCCACACCTCTCTTGCCCGCATCGCATCCGACACACACGCGCTCTCCCCCCGGCCTGGCTGTCCTCAGCTGCCCCACCCACCTCGCCTCCCTCCCCCGTGGCCTGCCCCAGCAGGTTGAGCGCCACGGGGCTGTGCAGCACCAGCTTGGTCAGGCGGTCCACATCCTCGCTGCTGGTGGCGCTCATCAGCAGGCACTGCAGCCCAGGCAGCGAGAGAGAGTGTGCGTGTTTGTGTACATGTGTGTATATGTGTGTGTGCGTGTGTGTATGGTGGAGCCCGCTGTTACCGCTGTTACCGTGCCTGCCAGATGCCGGAGGCCCACACGCATATGTGAAGCCTGCCGGGAGCGGGCAGTGCATTTGGCGGCGCGCCGTGGCTGCCTCGCACCTGCGTGGAGCGCGGGACGTGGGGCGCCAGCGCCTGCACATCCTCCTCATACCCATAGCTGAGCAGCAGGTCGGCCTCATCCAGCACCAGCACCTGCAGTGTGGGTGTGTGCAAGTGGGATACATGGACGTGTGGGGTGGCGGGGGTGGTGGAAGTGGCAGCATGCAGTCATCGACGCGTCGGTGGCAGCCGCCGTCTTCTTCCAGCAGCTGCATGCGAGTGGCCAGCCCGGCGGTGTTGCTCCCCTCCCCCACCTGCAGCCGCTCCTCCAGCATGTGCGGCGTAAGCACGCCCTCGCGCAGCGCCTGCGCCAGCTTGGCGGGCGTGGTGACCACCAGCTGCCCCGCGGTGGCACAGGCCGCGCGCAGCGGCGCGTCGCCCGCGACCGAGGTGGCCGACAGGTCGGCGCCGCACAGGCTCGCCACGCTGGCAGCCTCCTCCCTGACCTGCGGCGCGTGGGTTGCGAGGCGAGGTGCAGCGGCATGGATGGCGTGGCTGGGGCAACACCCAGTGGCCCAGGCCGCTGCTGTGTGTGCCACGCGGCGGTGGCACGTGGCCCCTCAGCCCCACCCGCCACTGCCACGGTCTGCGGTAACCACCCCACCCCCACCCCCATCCCCCCCGCGCACCTGCTCGCACAGCTCCCGAGTGGGAACCAGCACCAGCGCCTGCCACCCCGCCTTGCCCTTGCCGCTGGCCAGCACGCGGTGTAGAGCAGGCAGCAGGTACGCGAGCGTCTTGCCACTGCCGGTGCGGGCGCGGGCCACAATGTCCCGCCCCTCCAGTGCCTTGGGAATGCACTCCGCCTGCAATGGAGGCAGCAGGGGAGTGGGTGCGGCGACAGTCAGCCAGCTGCCGGTGCGACGGCGGCAGCGGCGGCGGGGTGGCGGCGGCGGCGGCGGCAGTACTGCAGCTGCGCCTGGCGGCCCGCGTGCGGCCCTTCCGCGTAGCGCTACCCTGCTGGATCGCATGGCAACACGCCAAGCGCCTGGAGGCCGCCCCAGCCGCACCTGCACGGGTGTTGGCTTCTCAAAGCCGCGCTTGGAGAGCGCCCGCAGCAGCCTGGGGTCCAGCCCCGTGCTGTCAAACGACATGATATGCGTGCCGCTCAGAAGCGCAGTTCGCCGCCGTGTTTCGATTGCTCACTGCTCTGAGACACATGCATGTGCCGCAGGCCCCGGTGTTCCGTGTTGGGGAATGAGCTGGTGATCAAATGCGGCCCCTGGGTCGTCGTTGCATGAGTTTCATCGACCGCCGCCACCTCAGCAATGCATTTCGCATGCATGCGGGCATTGCACTCTCTGTGTATAATACACGGCTCGCTTGTCTCATAGCAACAGCCTCCCGCTTAAAAACCTCGTGCCCGTGCTCACACACCCACGTCCCCCACAGCCCACAACGCCTGCAGCCCAAGCCTTGGCACCTGTTGGACGAGGTCGCTTAATCAAGGCCAATACATCAGCAGCAATGGCGGCGGTTGGATGCATGAGCAGGGCGTCGGCGGCGCCACCATCGGCGGCAGCGGCTCGCTCAACCCGCCGACCACCACCACCTCCAGCAGCGGCCGTGGCAGCAGCAGCAGCCGCAGGGAGCAGCAGCAGACAACGCAGCACCGCTGCACGAGAAGCTGCAGGCTCGCGGCATCACCCACCTGCTGTTTGCGGGGGTCACCACCGAGGTGTGCGTGCAGACGAGCATGCGGGAGGCCAACGACCGCGGCTACGAGTGCCTGCTGGTCACAGACGCCACAGACTCCTACTTCCCCAAGTTCAAGGAAGCCGCCATCGAGATGATCCGCGCCCAGGGCGGCATCGTGGGCTGGACGGCAGACACGGCGGCGGTGGAGGCGGCGCTGGCTGCCGCCTGAGCGGCAGGGTCTGGCCCACCGCCTGGCACTGATGTGTACTTCCTTCTTTTCCCATGGCCCCTGCCCGTCCTTCGTACCCACCTGCTCTTCGACGTTGACCATAATCACCAGTAGCGTTTGCCGCCTGCGGGTGCCGCCGGCCCGTCACAGCCCCACCTTGCCACCCCTCATGCGTCAGTAACTCTGCTATTCCCTCAGCGCACTTGGCCGTACACCCCCGATACCAAGACCTCCTCAGCTTACCTGGTTCTGAACCTGTACAATACGGGCTGCCTCTTCTGTAAGACATGATGGATGGGTGGGGGTGGTGGGGAGGCCGGCGGCAGGGGAGGCGGTGGTGCAAGCGCTGCACAAACAGCACGTCGCCCCTCGGCCCCTGCACTCTATCGGAGAGAATGTGCCTCGCCTAACAATGCGGAGATTGTTTTGTTTACAGCCTGTACAATCGAAACCCTGGTGGCTCTGCGCCCTTGCACCAGCCAGCTGGCCAGCAGGTGGCGCACCACGTGGTGCCATCGGCCGCCGCCACCTCAGCAATGCATTTCGCATGCATGCGGGCATTGCACTCTCTGTGTATAATACACGGCTCGCTTGTCTCATAGCAACAGCCTCCCGCTTAAAAACCTCGTGCCCGTGCTCACACACCCACGTCCCCCACAGCCCACAACGCCTGCAGCCCAAGCCTTGGCACCTGTTGGACGAGGTCGCTTAATCAAGGCCAATACATCAGCAGCAATGGCGGCGGTTGGATGCATGAGCAGGGCGTCGGCGGCGCCACCATCGGCGGCAGCGGCTCGCTCAACCCGCCGACCACCACCACCTCCAGCAGCGGCCGTGGCAGCAGCAGCAGCCGCAGGGAGCAGCAGCAGACAACGCAGCACCGCTGCACATGGCACGCGGCTGCGCTGCAGCATGCAGTGGCGGCGCCAGCGGCTGCAGGCAGCAGGCCCTAGGGGCAACGGCAGGGGCAACGATGCAGCACCGCAGGAGGAGGAGGTGGAGGAGGAGGAGGAGCAGGGCCCGCCCCCGACCGAGGAGGAGATGGAGGAGGCTCGTAGGGCGTTGATGGATTTTCTGGAGGGAATGGGGGCGGCTGGGGAGATTGGGCGGCCTGAGGACTTGGATCTGCCAGGTGAGAGGAGCAGCATGTACTGTGAAACTCATCAATGTGTGCGTCATGCGCGCGTGTGTGTGTGTGTGTGTGGGGGGGGGGGGTGCCACAGTCATGGACTACCAAGGCTGTTCCCCTCCTTCTTCACGCAGAGGACCGGCTGTCGTGGGCCGAAGCGCTGCAGCTGGTGGGCATGGCGGGCTGGCGGCTGGCCGACAAGGTGATCCCGACCGCTTGGCCCCTCGGCTGCAGCTGCGGGGCTTTGGCTGACTGCGGCGGAATGGCAGAGGCTGGTACGGCATGGCACCTAGGGATCTGCTCCATGCCCACGGCACCACCCCACCATGCCACACCTTACCGCTCCATGGCCCGCCCATCACTGCCGTTTGGCGCCGCCGCAGGTGTGCGCCCCGATCGAGGAGCTCGTGACGCAGATCGAGGGGTGCTGGCGCAGCGTGCTGCCAGAGGACCAGTTTGGGCTGTACCCTCTGGATGAGGCAAGTGGTGCCGAGGCCCGCCTGAAATGGGTGTGTGGGAGGGAAAGGTGTTGGCAGCGCAGCAAAGAGGAGCATGGCGGCAGCAGGGGCGGTATGTGCAGTGTTGGTAGAACTGGCTAGCACTTCTTCAGCAGCATCCCAACATTGCGGCCAGGCATGCTACATATTGTGCCTGACATGGTACTGCATCTCATGCTACCGCATGTACTGCAGAAATTCAAGTACTTGGATTCTGTAGACCCCGAGGGTACCGACCCCTTCTCGTACCGCTCCATGCTGGATCCCGAGAAGGGCGAGTCCGGATACCCCCGCCTGCAGGTATGGCTGTGGCCCTCGGCCAAACCGTCCGGCCCGTGCCACACCTGCCTGCAAGAAAGCTGCCTGGGCCTGGTCGGTTAGGTGCAAATTGCGCATCTGCTCTCTGCTGGAGCCCCGGCTGACCTGCAGCCTGCCACCCCATGCCACGCTCCCTCCTGCCCCACTGCCTGCCCCTGGCCTGCCCCTGGCCTGCACCCGCAGATTGAGAACCGCGCCTACTACGGCCGCGCCTTCCGCAAGCTGCACATCGAGGTGGCGGCGCGCCAGGACGGGCTGCAGGTGCGGCGCGGGCCCCGCGGGCAAACGCCTGCCCTCTGCACCCTCCTGCCCTCTCGCCTGGCCCCTGCATCGCCGCCACCCCCAATCACACACCGACACGGCTGTTTTGTGGTTCCCCACCTCCCACGCCCGCCTCATTGCTTGCAGGTGTTCCACTGCGTGATGTACCCGCGCTTGGAGTACGACCTGCCCATCTTGTCCATGGACCTGGTGGCCAACGCCGGCAGGGTCAGCCTGGCCATCGTGGACCCCTGCCCCCTCAGCCCCGGCCTGCAGCTGCCGCCTGTGTACGAGCAGCCCGTCAGGTGGGCGGGCCCGGCTGGGCGGTGGTTTCGGGTGTGGGCGTGGCGGGTTGGGGCGGGCATTCACGTCGAGGGCGGGAGGAGTCGCGTATTGGCGAAGCGCCGAGCTGCCTTCTGGCCGGTTGCATTCCACCTAGCACGGGCATTCCACCTTGCCGAAGCCCCGCCCCGTGCCCACCCCTCCCGCCGCCCTGTTGTGTGCTGCAGGGAGCTGCAGGCGCGGTACCAGCTGGAGAGCAACCGCTCCATCCCCGAGTGGGGCGCCGCCATCTTCTCGCCGCTGTGCGTAATCGTGCGCCCCGACAGCAGCGAGGAGGTTGGGCGCTTCCTCAAGTACGCGCTGGCCCTCACCCAGCTGCACGTGCAGGTGGGCGAGTCAAATGGCGGTTGGGGTGTTGGGGTGGGCGTGTTTGCGCCTGGTGGCTGTGGCGCGCAGGCACAGTCGACACACAGGGACAGAGGTGCATTGTGTGGCCGGCAGCCAGCACAGGTGTGCCAGCGCTGAGCCGTCGACCCGCTGCTCCGCCGGCCGCCGCCGCACTGCGATGCAGATTGGCAAGATCGCGCACCCGGTGAGCTCCTCGCAGCGGCGGCGCCTGGAGGCGCTGCACGCGGGGCACAGCCGCTACTGCGAGAAGCAGCTGGAGAACGACAAGACGAGGCGGGTGCTGGAGGCGGCGTTTGGCGCCGAGCTTACGGAGCGGTACATGCGGGAGTGCATGTTTGACTGCCCTCCCCTGCCCAAGAGCGTGTAACCCTCATATGTTACTGTTTACAGTAACTGCTGTTCTCTGCTGCCTGCGGCGAGCGGCCCCTGTACCGCTGTACAGCGCCACGGAGGCGGCAGTCATGCTGCCGCCCTCGGCCAGAGGCCGCACTCTGTGCGGTTTCGGGATCGTTCTCTTGCTTGCTCCTGTGCTGTTTCCCCCCCCACCCACCCGGCAGCGCGGCGCGCTGGGCTGCTGGCGCTCCCGCCCAGCGGCGACGCCGCTACGGGCGGCTGCTTTACTACGGCTGGCCTCCGGGCCCTGTTTGTGCTTTCATACCCGTCCTTATCCATGCTTGCTTGCATGCCCCCCCACTCAGCGCTAGCGGCGCTGTTGTCTTCCCACCCGCCTGTAACATGGGGCGGGTGGCTGTGTCCCGACCACCGCCCCCTACCGTGAGCAGCAGCAGCAGCAGAGAACCTAGGGTGCAGTGCCGAAAGTGTGGCATGCGCGAGAGGGATTGGGACGGCAATACACGCTCGGCGGCGCATGGATGGCGCATTGCCCGCGTGCGCTGGAGGAGGGGACATTCGTTACGTTTTGAAGCACATTCACTCTTTTGTTTCGAGAGCGAGATCGCTCCGCAGTCAGTTACCCTCCTTGCGAAAGCTCTGGCGCCTGTTGATAACACTGGTGAGCATTGACAGGACCCTGTAGGCTCTTCAGTGAATCGAGCGCCGCCTACCAACGCCGCCCGTAGGCAGGTCCATGTCGGCGGCAGGCGACCAGGCACCCGCCGCCGCCGACCAACCCGCAGACGCCTGCCCCTTTTGCCTGGAGCCGCTGGATGGTGGCAGCAGCAGCTCCCTGGCGTTGCAATGCGGACATGTCTACCATGCCGTGTGTGCCGTGCAGTTTCTCTGCAGTAAGCATGGCAGGCGGCCTACAGACATGCCTGCGCGCCTTCGTCGCTACGGGTCCCGCTCTCACTTTGCACCGCCTCTTGATTGCAGAGAAGAAGAAGTGCCCCGTGTGCCGCGCTTCGGTGGACGAAAACCGAGTGAGGGACCTGGGGGGGTCCCCAGAGGCGTCTGGCCGCTCGTTCGTGCAGCAGGCGGCCAGCCCTGGCGGCTGCGACAGCAAGACGGCCAAACCTGGCGGGGCTGGTAGGGGGCACATCGAGCTGCAGGCGGTGTCCGGCACCGCAGCAGCAGCAGCAGCAGCAGCAGCAGGACAGGCATGGACCTCTGGACTCACGCCAGGGCAGGCAGGCAATGGCGCCTCGCTACCAGTCACTCCACCTGAGCTGCGCGGCGGCGGCGGAGGGGGAAGCGGCGCGGCAGCCTCCGCTTGGCTGCCCGACATCTATCCCGTCCGCCCTGGAGGCCCCTCCCTCAGCATCATAGTGGAGGCTCCCGGCGGGGCATCACACCCCACAGCAGGCCCAGCGCCGGCAGCAGCAGCTGGCAGCAGCGGCGGCGGCGCGGCGGCGGCGCAGGTCAGGACCATCCGGGTGGTGCGCCCGCGCGCCGCCTGGGTCAAGTTTGTCTGGCTGCTGCTGGCCTTCCTGGCGCTGCTGGCCATGGTGGTCATCATACCAGTTGTGATGTCGCGGGACGGCTCCGAACGTGAGTGCAGCTCAGCAGCCTAGCAGGCAGGGAGGGCACGGCCCATGCATGCACTTGTGTACTTATGGTATGCATGTATATGTATGCCACGGAGCGCTATCCAGCTGTTGGCGGTCGTGTCTGGCCTCTGCGCGTTGGGCACGAGATACAGGACACACATGTGGCGGGCAGCGGTCCTGCCTGCCCCATGCCTTCAAGTTGCGGCCCACTGCCCCTGCCTGCAGGGAACCCCGGGGCCGACAGCGGCGGCGGCGGCGGCCAGGAAGATGGCGGCAGCAGCGGCATCGAATCCTGCTGGGAATGCCTGCTGGACAACTCCCGAATAGACTGCTCGGGCGTGTGCTGGCTGCGATAGCAGGGGGCGCAGGCGGCGTGCGGCTGCTGATGCGGCTGAGAGCCTTGGCGGTGCCTGCCTATGAACCTAGAAGCCTGGCAGTGAATCACAGCTGAATTTCTGAAGTGAATTTCAAAGATAGAGTCAAGCAGCACGGGTCGAGAGGTTCTCAACAGGCCAGCGGCAGCTGCGCCAGCGCCGCGCCCACGGCGTGCAGGCTGCCGCACACCAGCACCACGCCGCGCTCGCCGCGCTGCGCCCGCAGCTCCATGCGAGCGCGCTCCACTGCCGCCGTCAGCGAGGCCTGGATGAGCTCGCGGGTGCGCGGCCCGCCGCGCCGCCGGCCGCCGCCCAGGATGGCGGCTGCCTGCCAGGCGCCCGCCAGCTGGCCGGGGCCCGCTGCGCGCGCTGCGCCGCCGGCGATGGCCACCGTTGTGAACACCACCACTGACGGCTCCACCGCTCGCAGCGCCAAGCAGAACTCCCTGCAGGTCGAGGGTGGGCGTTGTGGCATGTGTGGTGCAGGTGGTGGTGGGGTTGGGTGAAGGACAAAACGCCAGGGAAAGCGCAGGCATGCCACAGCGAGGCATGAGGGAGAGCAGCCCCCGCTTCCCGCACCTGTGCTGCTTGTCTTCGGCCATTGCCATGACTACAGCCACCGGCGCGGTGGGGAAGGCCTCCCGCAGCGTGCTTGCCAGCGCCGCCGACGACTCGGGCGTGTGCGCTCCATCCAGCACCACCCAGGGCCCCGCCTCGCCGCCGCCGCCGTCACCGCCGCTGCTGCCGCCCTGCGCAGCCCGCGCGGCCGCCTCTGCCGCCGCCTCGGCATCCTCTGCAAACTGGCACACCTGGAACCTGCCAGGCAGCGTCGCGGCCTCCAGCCCAGCCGCCACGGACCGCAGGTCGACGCGGTCCAGGCCGTGCCGCCGCAGGCAGGCCGCCGCCGCCACTGCCGCCGCCGCATTGTCCAGCTGGTGGGAGCCCAGCAGGCGCAGGCGCACGTCTGCAGGCGAGGAGGGTGGGTGGGGTGGGCAGCGGGGCACACCAGCGCAGGAGGACAGGGCAGTAGCTGATCCAGTGACGCAGCGGAGCAGAGCCCGCTGAGGTGCTGCCAACAGCCCAGGTGCTCACCCAGCTCCACTGGCGACCCTGACCCCACAAATGCCGCTGCCGTCTGGCCGCGCAGCACCATCCGGCGCCGCTGCCGTAACAGCTGCAGCAAGCTGTCGCTGCTGCCGCTGCTGCCGCTGCTGCTGCTGGCCGCTGCTGCCTTGGCCGCTGCAAACTCCACTTCTTGCGGCGCGTGGATGACTGGGCAGTCCAGCTCTTGAGCTGCACAGGCACAACAGCGTAGGTGGCTTGACTGCTGCTGCAGGGTCCTTCCAGACATTATTCGTCCCCACACAAACATGCTCAGGCAGCAGTTCAGGGCACTAGCGCAACAGCAGCAGCTGCACAGCAACAATTGCTCACCTCTCTGGAGCAGCACAGCCTCTGCCGCAGCGTCGGGCTGCCTTGCCAGCACCACCGGCCGCCCTGCCTGCATGATCCCCGCCTTGGCCGCTGCTATGCTCTCTATGCTGCCGCCCAGCGCCGCAGCGTGGTCGTGGCCCACCGCCGCGATGACAGCTGTCGCCAGGCTGGCGGCGGGCAGTACGTTGGTGGCGTCCCGCACGCCGCCCAGCCCCACCTCCACCACCGCAGCATCCACCTGCACGCACCAACCAGCTGCCAGCCGCTTCAGCCAAACCTGCTCGTGGAGGAGGCCCAAGCCAGCTGCTGCCGTGGAAGGCGCAAATGACAGCATGCTGAACATGCATCCGGCGGCATTAAAGGCCCTCTCGCGGCAAGCCCCGTCCCGCCGCCTGCCTGCTGCTCCTGGAAGTGCTTGTAGGCCAGCGCTGTGACTATCTCAAAGTCGCTGAGGGCGCCGCCCTCCCGCAGGTGAGCCGCCTCCACCGCGCCGCCGTGCCTCGCCAGCAGGCCCTCCAGATCTGCGTCCGAGATGGGGCGGCCGCCCACCGCTATGCGCTCGTTCAAGGCCTGGATGTGGGGGCTGCAGGCAGGGAGCCAGGAGTGGGGAGGCACGTGCGGACTGTGGCTGGCAAGGACTGCAGCAGCAGCAGCAGCAGTCGGGCAGCTGCTGCAGCGCCAGCCAAGTGCGGAGGCGGCGAGAGCAGGCGCAGTCACCACACCAGCTAGGCGCAACGCCTGGCCTCCTCAAGTGGCCCCTCAGCAGCCCCACCCCACCTTGTGTACGCCCCTGCCTTGTACCCCGCCGCCGCCAGGATGCTGCCCAGCATCGCCACGGTGGAGCCCTTGCCCTTGGTGCCCGCCACATGGGCCGCCGCGGGCCAGGCGTGGTGCGGGTCGCCCAAGTCTGCCAGCAGGCGCCGCATGCGAGCCTGCAGCGGCAACCCACAATGGCATGAGGGAGGGTGGGGCGGTGGGGTTGCACCCACGATGTGACGCAGCATCCGTATGGGCACTCGGCGACAGAGTGTGGTGGAGCGCGGCAGGCCACGGGCCGCCTCTGGTTCCGCCCTCTCACCAGATCGAAGCCGGCGTCTGTGTTGGTGCCCGCCGCCTGCGGCACGCCGCTCTGCTCGTAGTTGGTGAACTTGCGCAGCCAGTCCAGGGCGCCGGCGCTGGTGCTGTACGGCGCTGGGGCTGCTCCTCCGCGGCCGGCGGCGGCACGCCTGCCGCCAGCTGCCGCAAGCGCCGCAGCGACAGCCGCCGGTTGTAGGGTGCGCAACATGCCGGCCCGGCGCGCGATATGGTGTGATTGTGGCGCTGTGTCGATGCGTGTGGGGTGGGTGGCGTTCTCTGAGGTGAGGAACTGCAATATGCGGGGCACCGTTCAATGCCGCGGCACAATCCCGATCGATCCAAGGGCTTTACAGGGCGCAAAGCAATGCGTGCATGTCGGCCAGGGCCCCGCAATTGGCCGCCAGGCAATCGTACCGCCGCCTTGTACCAGGCGTGCGCCGATGGCGTTGAATCGCAGCGCATCGCCGCCTGGGGATTAACGCAAAGCCATTGGGTGAGCCTGGGAGGCGGCAGCTGCACGCCTGCGCTTCGCCGATCACCGCCACTCTTCTTTCGCGCTAGCCCATGCCTGGAGCTCCCGGGGAAATCTACCTCGACTTCTATCGCTTCTGGTCGCTACCCGGGGGTTTCCGAGTAGAGCCGGCCTTCATTTGGCTGCGCTCTTTGGCAACCTCCCCAGACCTGCTGGCCGCCCGCTCCCTGTATCAATGCCACCTCGGCAGAAGAGCGCCAGGCGGGGGCCGGTGGCCCTGAGCCTCGTGGCAGGCGTGGCGGTGGGCCTGGTGGTGGCCGCCCTGCAGTTCCGCGGCAGCTCCGTCAGCGGTGCTGTGGCGCAGCTCAACCAGGCACAGATGGACAAGCTAGCAGCGCAAGTGTCGCAGCTGACGCAGGAGCGCGACGCCGCGCGGGTGGAGATGGACAAGCTGCGGGAGACGGCGGCCAAGGCGGCGAGCGCCAGTGCCGCGGGCAGCTGCCCGGACCGCCACACGCCCTGGCAGCCGTCGGCGGAGCGGGACAAGACCTACCCAGAGCTGGCAGAGTTCCTGAAAAAGGTGGGCATGGCAGGGAGTGACCCAGAACACGGCTGTACCGGCGTGGGAGGATGCTGCAGTTCCGCGGGTGCTGTTGGGTGGTGCTGCACGCCTCACGTGAGTGCCAGGCTGGCATCCACGCCCCTCCCCCTCCCCCTGCACCCTCTGACCAGGTGGCCGTCAACAACGAGGTTCTGGTGTCGGTCAGCAACAAGAACTACGCGTGGCCGGGCGGCATGCTGCAGCTGTGGGCGGAGAATGTGAAGCGCACAGGTGGGAGCCCTGCTGTGCTGGTTGGGCCACGGGATTTGCTGCTCGCCCGGCCATAGCGCGACAGCAGCAGCAGCAGCAGCACCCCCAACGCCGCAGCAGTCTGCATGGGCAGCCCCTGCAGGCCCGGCGGCGCCGCCGCCAGCCTGTACGCGTGCACCGCACGCCCGTTGCTGCCCTGCATCGGCTGCCAGGTGCAGGCGTGCAGCATGCAGCGCCGGTGCCAGCTGTCGTGTTGATCCTGCAGCCAAAGTCGTTTTGATCCTGCTGCCTTTTGCCGGCTGTTGGGCATGCAGGGGTGAAGAATGCCATGGTGATTGCGCTGGATGATGACACCAAGTCAAACGCGGAGAGCTTTGGCCTGCCCGCTTTCCGCATGGACGTGAAGGTGTGGGGCGATGGGTCATGTGGGGGTAGTGGGGTCACGACTGTGGGGTGTTTGTGGGTGTGCGTGCGGTTGTGAATGGGTGCGGTTGCGCGGCGTGAATTGCCTGGCAGGGTGGACTCTGCTGCTTTAGCCCTGCGCCCTGTAATTGCCCACCGCGTCCACCCCTGCCCTTGCTCCCGCTTCCAGCATGCATGTGCTGGGAGGGTTGGCACGCCGCGCCCTCTCCATCCGATCTCTGTTTCCACGCACACCATCACCCGTGCGTCTTCGTAGCACTTACGCCCTTCCTGCCCTCCTCCCCACGCCTACCCCGCAGATCCCGGACAGCCAGAAGGATGTGGGGTCCAACCATGCAGTGTCTGCCCTTAAGTTCCGCATCCTGCAGAACTTCATGAAGCTGGGATACTCGGTGTTCCTGTCGGGTGGGATACCTGGGTCGGGGGCTGGACGCCATTTTGTGTGGGCGGGGGCAAGGTGCAGCAGCTGCTGGGGTGTGCGCGTGCGCATGGATGCGTGGTGCATCAGCGCCGTGAGCACGGCATGCCGTGGCGAGCGCGGCAAGCGCACCCTGCCGCTGCCCTGCTCCTCGCCGGTCACACCAAAGCTCTTGTTGCTGCTCCGGCTGCTGCCCTGGGTGGTGCAGACGTAGACATTGTGTTCCTGCAAAACCCCTTCGAGCACCTGGCGCGCGACAGCGATGTGGAGGGCATGACCGACGGCTGGGATCACGGCACCGCGTGTGAGCTGGCTGGCGGGACGCTGCGTGGGCTGCTGGCTGGGGCGCCGTGGGGAGCCGGCCTAAAGGGGCCCGGCCAGCCGGCCTGGCTAGCGGCGCTGGCAGTGCCCTGCATGCCACGCCTCACATCCGCCTCCTCTCCTGCCACCAACCGGCCCTCGCCTCCCTCCTGCACCATTACAACATCACCAGCAACAACCATGCCCCCCACACGCAGATGGGTACAACGACGTGGCTGATGACCCCAGCATGGGGTGGGCCCGCTACGCCCACTCCATGCGCATCTTTGTCTTCAACTCGGGCCTCTTCTACCTGCGGTGCGCGGCTGGCTGGGCGGGGCTGGTCTGTGGGTTTGGCTGGCTGGGTGGCTCGGTCAAAGCGCCAGAGGGCTGCTGGGCTGCTGGGCGAGCTGGCAGCGGCTGGCCTGTCAGCAGTGGATGGGGCACAGCCGCCTGCTGACTCCTCGTTGGCCCTGCGCCACCTCCCACCATGCGTCCCGCATGCCGCCGCCGCCGCCTTCTTGCAGGCCCACCAACGCCACCCAGGAGCTGCTGGACAAGCTGATCTACCGGGTGGAGACCGAGAACGGGTGGGACCAGGCGCTGTTCAATGAGTGCATCTACTTCCCCAGCAGCCCCGCCAACAAGGTGCGGGGCGGGCTAGCTACCGGCGGCGGCTGGCGGCTGCGGCGGCTGGCGGCTGGGAAGCTAGGGCAAGGGCACGGGCGCTGAGCTGGGGCTTCCCCTTCTCCCTCTCCCGCGGGAGGTTCCTGCTTCTCCCTCTGTCCCACCCGCCTGCCGTGCGTGCCCCGCTCCCCGGGTGCAGGACCCATCTGTGACGCGGCGTGTGCTGGACTATATGAAATTCATGAACTCCAAGGTCGGCTGCTGCCCCAGCGGGAGGCAGCTGCCCAGCCGGAGGCCGCCAGCAGGAGCCAACCAGCTCCCGGCTCCCACCAAACCTGGCCCAGAGGCAGCTGCCGGTCCACGGCGGGGCATGGGGCAGCGGCGAGCGGGGCGCAGGCGGCGCCATGCCTTGGCCGCTCCTCGCCAGCCTCCGCTCAGCTCACCTCAGCGTGGCCCAATACCCAGCCCTTGCCTCCGCTGCTTGCCCTGCCGCCGCCTTCCCTTGCTGCAGGTGTTGTTCAAGCACCTGCGCCACGATGCCGGGCAGTTTGAGGCGCACATGCCTGTGTCGGTGCACGTCAAGTGAGCCGAGGGGCAGGGGAAGGGCGGGGCAGGAGTAGGCACACGACAGGCTGTGGAGTGCAGGAACGGCGGCATAGTGTGCTACAAGCATGCCGGGCCGGCCCAGGTGTCGTCCTGGTTGTTGCCGCAGCTGACCAGTGTTTGAGTGCCGCTTCCCTCCTCCCCTTTGTTGGTTTTGCTCCAGCTATCACCCAGACAAGTTCGAGAGGATGAAGGTGGGTGTGCCGGCGCAGCTGTGCCGCTGCCGCCACTGCCACTGGCGCTGCTGTTGTTCTCCTCCCTGCCTCTCTCACTCCTGGCAGCTCTCCACAACTGCAGGCGGTTGTGAAGCGGTATGTGGAAAAAGACATGCACGCCCTGGACAAGTTCCCGGATGGGTCGCAGTAGCAGCGGCAGCGCTGGCGCCACGCTGCGCAGCCAGCAGCGACGCACCGGGCTTCATTCGACCTTGGTACTGCCTATGCTTGTATAACCTATTTTTCCTGCTGTCAGCACTGCCTCTCAAAACTCCGCAAAATCAGCAACATGATGGAGCTGCTATGGCAGACAGGTGGTGGGCAATGACGGCGGCACGGCATGCCAAGCACGTACATGCCCTGGCGTGAGCGCCTCTGGCCACATGATGCAACAGCGCATACCTCTATCTCTTACATAGTGGCTGCATTATTTGATGACATAGACACATACTTTCCTCTTTCTATTCGAACCGTGCACCTCGTAGCCAGCCTCACAGCTGGCCGCCAGCCAGCGCCGAGCGCGCCGCCTCATGCAGGCGCAACAGCCGCTCCGCCGCGCCTGGCACACCCTGCATCATTCCCCGCACCGCCGCCCGCACCGCTGCCAGCGCCTCCACACGCTCCGTGCCACCTGCACACTTCTGCGGGGGCGCCTGCTCCTGCTCCTGCACTGCTGCCCCGAGCAGGCGCCGCCGCTTGCCTGGCAGCAGCGCCACCTTGTGGGCCAGCTGGTTCGCCGCCCCCAGCGGCCGCCGGCCAGGGCTGCCACCGCTCCCGGCCGCCTCCTCCTCGCCACGGCTGCCGCCGCTGCTGCCGCTGCTCATGCCAACTGCGCTGCCGCGCTCTGCCAGCCGTGCCACCTGCGCGGCCCTGGCCACCACGGAGGCGGGCAGACCGCAGGCGGCGGCCACCTGCACGCCGCAGCTGCCGTTGGGGGCAGGCCCTGCAGCAGAGCGAGTGGAGGGACCAGCCTAGCTCGGCTCCCCGGCCCCGCTGGGCGGGCAAGGGTGGCAGCCACAGGAGCTGGCAGCGACAGGCACTGCTGGCAGCGTGAGCTGCTGCGGAGCACCCGCTCTGCAAGCCCCGGCAGCCGGGCTGGCGATCATCTGCTCGCCATGGCACCGCCCCGCACCCACCGGGGGCTAGGCAGAAGGAGGGCAGCAGGCCGTGGGAGGGGTCTACCGCGGAGCGCATGTGCGCCAACTGCACCTGGGCTGCCAGCCGCGGCTCGTTGCACAGGCCGTGGTGGTGCGTGGCAAAGAGGCACCTGGGAGGGCAGCGGCGCAGCGAGGGGGTGGGGGGGCAGGAAGTCGGAGAGGCACCCTGGCGCTCCCTAGCCGCGCGGGTCCGGAGGGACGGCTCGGCCGCGCCCAGCTGGCACGCGCTGGCCCCGGCCGCAGGGGCCTGGCAGCCCGCGGCGACTGAGTGCAGCGCAGCCTGGACCAGCACGTTGGGTGCGCCGCATGGCACTCGCCTGCACCGCCGCGCCTCGGCCAGCCACAGCGCCACACCATAGGCGATGGCATGGCCATCGTGGGTGGCGGTGCCCCGCCCCAGCTCATCCAACACCTGCAGAGGAAAGGAAGGGATGGGGGCAGAGCACAGCGGTCGCTGGTGCCGCAAGCCAGCCTTTGTCCCTGGAGCTCAGAACCTCCCAGCCCTCCTTCGCTCCCTCGCTCCCTCGCTCTTCCCCAGCCCCGCCCCAGCAGCCCGGTCCGCCCCAGCTGCCGCATTCTATCCCCTCGGGCACCCTAAACATGCACCGCCGGCGACATCACCACCCGCAGCCGCGCCGGCTGCGTCCGCGCACCAGGAGGGAGGCGGGGGTGGAGTGGCGCAGCAGGGAGGCCGCCTCCAGCATCTCCACGGCAAAGGTGGACTCGCCGCGGAAGATGCGGTCCTGGGCGCCTGCAGCGAGGGCAGGCAGTTGTGAGTGGCGTGCTGGTGCATCTCGTGTGGGTGGGTGGGCGGGAGGGGGCTGTGGGGCCCCTGGCCGAGAGGTGGCTGCCGCCAGGCGAACCCTCTGCTATCATCCTCCAAGGGACTGGCACTAGCAAAGATTTGGTGAGAGCTTTTATCCCTCCGATTTGGGATACCTCGTGCGAGCATTCCCTTTGGCAGGAGCCGGCTCACCGATGCGTGTGAAGATGCGGTCCACAGGCGCCAGCTGGGCTGCGGCGGCGGGCACGTAGCAGCCCATCTGCGCCGGGGGCATGTGGGAGGGGCGCTGAGCAAGGCAAGCGGCACCTCTGCTCAGCATGCAGGATCTGATAGCCTCTTGCCAGGTGCCGCCAGCGGTTGCAAGTGCAGGCAGCCGCTGCTGGCGTTTGCAAGGGATTGTGGCTTCTTGCCTGAGCCATGATGGCAGCCAGGCACGTTGCCCTCAGCAGGGTGCTCTTGCCGCCAGTGTTAGCGCCCGTCAGCAGCAGCACGCCCGGCAGGCGCTCGCCGCCGCCGCCGCCGCTCTCACCGGCGGTACCGCCCAGCTGCAGGCTGTTGGGCTGGATGCTGTCCACCCCGCTGGCCAGCAGCGCGGGGCTCCACACGCCCTGCAGCCTGAGGGGCGGCGCCGCGCAGCTGCCGCTGCTGCTGGCAGCCTGGGCCGGGGCGGGGACGGAGGCGGCAAAGGTGGGGCGGCAGAAGGTGCAGCCGGGGGGCGCCGCTGAGGGGTGGGTGGCCACCGCAAAGCCGGCCAGGGCGTCCAAGGTGGCCACGGAGGTGAAGAAAGCGCGCAAGGGGTCGCAGCGCTCCAGGAAGAGCTGGGCGCTCTGCACCGACGGGAGGAGAAGCAGACGAGTGGGAAGCATACGGGGCCTGGCGCACCACCTCAGCGTGCCACCCCACCACCGCTTTCCTGCCGACAGCAAAGAGGGACAAGGTCCTGCAGTCCACGCCCTCCCGACACAGCCACCGGCGTGGCTGGGCCCCTGCCGCCGCACCTCAGCCAGGCACTGCAGCACCAGCAGCTTGGCGCCGTCCCGCACCTCCTCCAGCGCCTGCGTGCGGCAGCAGGAGCATGCGCGACGCGTGCCATGGCTAAAAGAGGGTGCTGGGCTGGCCACCTCCCTGGCCCCTGGCAAGGCAAGTCAAGCGACAGCATGCACTCCCCTCCATGCCACCTCTAAACAGGGTGGATCTCCATCACCCATGTACCTCCAGCGTGGCCGCCAGCTCCGGCACCCGGTACTTGGCTAGGGTCTCGGCCTCCTTGACCAAGGTGCACCCCGACACCAGATCCAGCAGGTCCCGCTTCGCAGCGGTGGGCACCTGCACGAGCCCCAGGCGGCAGAAGCGGTTGTGAGCAGAGCAGAAAGGCGTCGCAGTTCGCCCGACTGTTGCACCAAGCCATGCATCTGCCCCTCGGCCCTCGGGGAGGGTCACAACGACCCTCGCCTGGCGTCTCAGGCAGCTGCCCAGTAGTGGCACCACTTCCCTTGCCCCACCAGCACAGACCTGATCCCTCACCTGCAGGAGCCGCTCCCCTCGATACTCCGCTAGCTTCACCTTCCGGAGCGCCGGTTCCGGGTGGCCCCGCCCGCGCAGGGCCTCCCGCACCCCCTCCACCGCCGCCCCCACCTCCACCTGCAGCCGCGCCAGCTCCGCCGCTGAAGCATCATACTCAGCGCATAGCCCCTGGCACAGAGGCCAGGGGCAGGCGGGAGGCAGGGTAGGAGGGAGCTTAGGCCGAACCGTACATGTCGCCCCACGGTGCAAAGGCTGAGCCAGGGCTGCCGAGCACGTCAGCAGCAGGCCCGCCTCAGGCCCACAGCTCACCGGCTCCAGCGCAATGTCGGCAGAAGCGTCGTTGAAGCGATCAGCCGAGAACACCTGCATGCGCCACGCAGAAGCAGTGTTTTGCACCGTTTCTGCCCCGGGGCCAGCTGTTGGTCACTGCAGGGCAAGCACGCAGCCTGCGGCCCACCAGCCTGCTCCCCGCCACAGGCCCAAGCCCATCTCCAGCCAGCCCACCTGGCACAGCTTCAGCAGCGCCGCTGCCACCGACTCGCCACGCTGCAGGGCGCGCTGGAGTGGCGGCGGAAGAGGCAGCGGTGCCCCGCTGCTGGAGAGGCCGCGCCGCGACTCGAGCGCACGGCGCAGGCTGTGCAGGGCTTGCAGCATCATGCCCGCCCCTTCAAAAAGCGTCACCACGGGCAGGAAGGTGGCCTGCAGGCAGGGAGCAGCAGCACCGGGCACCGCCACCTCGACAAACTAGGGGTACAATGAGCTGCAGGGATGATGATGAACCGAGAAGCCTGCTCCAAGAGCAGAGTCTGCGTCGGGAGTCCAGAAGGCGCCCCACCTCGCCACAGGCAGCCCACCTGCGACAGGTCCAGCACTGCTGCCAGTCGCTCCACCCGGCTCCCCTCCTCCGCCCGCTTCCCTGCTGCAGGTACCGGGCACGGGTTGGGGCTGGCCCAGCGGCTGGCGGCCGACTGGCCTTGCTGCTGGGGCTGCCCGTGCGGCGCCGCCCAGCCGCGCCCCTGCTGCGCCTGCTCAGCCGCCTGGTCGCCTTCCTCTGCCGCCGCCACCTGGTCGACCACTGCCGCAAGCACATTGGCGGCCCGCGCCAGCAGGCGCTCGCAGTCGGGTGCTGAGTGCAGCTGTGATTGGAAAGCGTCTGCCTCAGCGGGGTGCCGCATGAACAGCTCGGTGGTGGACAGACGCTCCTCAATGTCGCCCACCCTGCAGCAGCCATGCGGCAGGTGTGCGCAGGCAGCTATGGCTGGCATCAGCTTCACGCAGGACTCAGAAGTCGATTTTTAAACACCATGCTGCCACGAAGCTGCCCCTGGTACTGCCTCTACTTGCCTGTACAGCGGCGCCGTCACAAACGCCTTCACCTTCCGCCTGCCCGCCGGCGTGGCGGCCCTGTCCAGCACGTGCCGCAGCGACCCCGCCAGCCGCCCCTCGCTGCTGCTGAGCAGCTCCAGGCTGCGGACGGCGCAGGCATCCAGCAGCATGAAGCCTGCAGGCCGCGTGCGGCGGGGCGCGGGGGTGGCGACGGTGTGTTGTGGAGTCGGCTGTAAGCCGCGCACCGCACCACTCGTGTTGCCAGGCTGGGGTTGCCCTCGGCAGCATCAGGCACATGCACATGGCACAGGCAGGCAGACAGGCAGGTCCGAGGATCGTGCCTGCACCGACCTGAGGTGTGCGCCCCGCCCACGAGGCCATCCATGCACTCCAGGGTGCAGGGCGGCAGCACGTGGTGCGCCGTCTGGGTGGCCTGCAGGTGGCGGATGGCCAGCTGCAGCGCGGCGGCGGCATGGGGCGTCAGCCGCGGCGCCGCCGCCGCAAAGGTGGCCGCCTTGCCCCGCTGCGTCACAAACATGTCGCCTGCAGAGGGAGGGGCTGCAGGCGCTGATGTTGCTGGGATACTGGGCAGCTGTCAACATGAACGAGGCTGTGGCGGAGCAGCAGCGCTGTGATCAGGTGCGCTGATGGAGGGTAGGCCATGCCGGAGACCTCCTTGATGTTCACCTGCCCTCCCGCTGCCTGTGCCCTCCTGCTGCCCTCAGCCTCCAAACCCCAATTTGCAAACTTTGGAGTTGAACCCGCCCCACCTGTGTACGCCACCAGCTCCTCCACCGCCCCCTCCTCCTCGCTGTCTGGGTCGCACGGCAGCAGGTGGTGGATGTGGGTCAGCAGCACGCCGCCGCCGCCGCCCCTGCCTGGCCCGCCCAGCTGGCGCAGCAGCTTGCGGGTGGCCGGCAGCAGCTGGCCGCGGGCAAAGCCCACCTGCGTGTGGCACAGGAGGGAGCCAGGGGAAGGGGTATCCACTGGACGCACGCTTAAAAGGCCTCCACATGGCGGCTCAAAAGTGCCTCCACACATGGCAATACCAAGGCTCTGCTGTCTCACTCCTCCCTTGCTCCCGCTGCCGCTCACCTCCGCAGGTTCTGTCGTCAGCAGCAGCGCCCCCAGCATGGACAGCTCAGTGTCAGCCTCCTACACGCGAGAGTGGCGAGCAGGAAGGCAGGTGGGCTGGGCGCAGCCAATCGACCACTCTCAACCAGCGCGGGTCTCAACCTCCTTGCTTTGGCGCTGCAGCCATCCCGCTGGGGTCCACATGGGGACCCTCTCCCAGCGCCCCCCACGAAGCCCACCTGCCAGGAGGCAAAGCTGACTGTGGCGGCCTGCACATCCACCACGCAGGCGCCGAAGCGCAGGCTCTGCCCCTCGTAGATGGTCACCAGCGGCTGGCTGCCTCCGCAGGCCTCCTGCAGGGAACGACTCAGGAACCAGCAGCTCGGGGGCAGCACACACACACACACGCTTGGATGCAGCACCCCCAGCGTGCACCGCCCCCCCTCTGGCCCGCGCTCTAGGCTGCAGCCTGGCGCCACGCGGCAGCACGACCTGTCAGGCCCTGCCAGTGCACAGCCTCCTGCGCCTCACCAGCATCGCCTCATCCAGCAGGGTGCCGGGAGAGTAGACGCGGGTGAGGGTGCGCCTCACCAGGGGGCCTCCCGCCTCCCGCTGGCCCCGCTTGTCCTCATCCACCCTGCAGGCCGGGCAGGCTCAGGCACAGCTCGATTGCTGGGGCAAGCCTCCTGAGCACCTGTGACTCAACAATTCCGAAGATACTGAAGGTTGCTGAAGGTTGAGGAGCTGCTCAGACTCAGCAGCAGGCAGGAGGAGCTTGCCTGCCCACCACGTAGCCCAGCGCCAGCACCTTGCCGGCCCACTCGTTGAATGCGCTGCACCAGCAGACAGCGCAAGGAATGTTCCCGCAATCGGGGGTGCTCGGAAAGAGAGGCGTGTGCCACATCCATGCGCCAGCCATCCATGGGCCAGGCGGCGATGCAGCCTGCCACTCGCCTGACGTTGCAGCCCACCGTCCACATGTTGGCGGCGCTGCCCCGCCTCCCGCCCATGCTGCTCAGGCCCACCCGCATGCCGATGTCTGCGTCGCGGTCTTTCAGGTGGTAGAAGTTGCCTGGCAGGGAGCAGGAAGCGCGGGGGGGGGGGGGGGGGCATCCAAAGGGTCAGCAGTTAGAGAGGGAGCATTCCTTTGGCGTCGCGGGCCAGGGTGCCCGCTCGGCTCCCCTAGCGCCCATGCTGAGCCCCATGCTGAGACCTCCCAACTGTGCCACACCATGCTCCGCACCCCCGCCTGCAGCTGGGAGCTCACCCTCCTGGAAGAACAGGACCATGTGGGCGCAGCCGGCCTGCTTGATGCGCCAGTACTGGGCATCGGCACCCTTTAATTGGGTGCCCCACGCGCCTGGGGGGATGTGGAGGGTGGTCGGGTCGTGGTCAGGGTCGGAGGGCGGCCGCAGCTGCTGGTCCCGCGGCTCCAGCAGCCACTCCCAGCGCCTGCGCAGCACGGGCGAGGAACAAAGAATGTCGAGGGGGGCGGAGTGCAGCTGCAGCGCTGGAATTTCCCAGGTTGGGGTGCAGCCGCACCTGCCGGTGCTGGCTCCAGCCGCAAAGGGCTCGGCCTCAGCTGCCAGTAGGGATTGCAGCTTGAGGCGGCGGTCCGCCTTGCTCACTGGGTCGCCACGGCGACCCGCTCGTGAAGTGGCGGCGCTGTGGCCAGGGGCCCACTTCGAGACGGCCTGGCCGGGGTCTGGCCTGGCAGCAGCCCGCGCAGGCTGCCAGTGGGGGCTGGGCCTGCCAGCCACCAGCAGCGGCGGCCTGATCATCCGGCCCCCGCTGCTGATGGAGAGCGCTCCCGCGGGCGGCGACGTCACCGCCGCCAGGGGCTGCTGGCTGCGGTGGGTCCCCAATGGCGATGCGGCTGCAAAGCCGGCGCTCGCCATTGCCTCCTGGGCAGGCAGCTGGGCTGCACCCCCAGTCCTCAGGCCGCTGAACTGGCTGCTGCCAAGTGCTCTGCTGACAGCGACTGTCGCAGAAGCAAGGGCGGTGGCACCTCGTGCGGAGGGACAGGGAGCTGCCCCTTCTGCCCCATCCCCGCCAGGAGTGCGCTGCAGGGTGGCGGCGGCCTGCGCCGTCCAGGGCTGGGCAGCCTGCTCCTGCTGCGGCAGCTGCCAGGGGTCACGCTGCCAGCGGCCACCGCCGGTGCCGCCAGCCGGCGTGCGTGCAGGCGCCTCTGCCGCAGCTGCACCTCCCGCCTGCTCCTCCTCCTGCCGCCGCTGCTGCTGCTGCTGCTGTGCCTTGTTGTCGGCAGCCTTGGCGTGTCGGCTGAGCGCCTGCTGCAGGGTCGCTTGAGTCATGGGCTTCTGAGGCTGCGGGTTGGGATCAAAGCTCCAAGTGATGTTGGCTGCTGTCTTGCCGCCCCTGGCGCGCCTGCCGGCCTGAGGCGCAGCAGCCTTGGGTGCTGGCGCCCGGGCCAGTGCCGCTGCAGGCTGGCCCTGCCGTGACTGCGCAGTGCCTGCACCCATGAAGCCGCCGACGACGACGGGCGCTGGCACAGACAGCGCGCCCCGCGGCGGCAGCGGCGGCCGGCCGGAGGGGTGGCTGGCGGCAGGCGCTGCCGCCGGCCCCAGGCTCGGCGTTTGAGCTGGCGGCGGCGCTGCGGGCTCCTCGCTGCCGCTGTTGAGGATGAGCCCTGCAATTGGCAACACACCAGGTTGTGGATCGAAAACGGATGCTTGCAAACGGCTCTTCAAAGTTTTAGTTCAAACAGAGATTACAACATGCCTCATGATGCAAAGCAGCAGCACCCTCCTGGTGGGGGACGGAACACGAATCCACGCTGCTGCGGCTGCCCTCCGCGATCTGCAACAGCCAGGCTGGCAGGCGGCAGCGCGGCTGGTGCTGTGTTGCAGCCTCGGCTGCCGGCAGAGGCTGGCGCCTCGCCATTCGCAAACGCGCCGCCGCTGGCAGCCTCACTGCTGCTGCTGCTCGCATTGCGCTGCTGCTCCGGCTGCCGCTCCTGCTGGGCGCTGGCCAGTGGCGCAGCGGGGCCAGCTGGGTGCTGCGTCAAGCCGCCATTGGGAGTGCGGCTGGGAGCCAGCTGGGGCCAACGGCCCTGCCGAGGCGGCGCCCGGGGTGGCTGCGCGGGAGCAGGCAGGTGCAGCTGGTGCTCCAAGGGATGCTGCGACGGGGTGGCTGCCAGGGGTGGCAGCCCCTGCGCTCCCGGGGGGTGCGGCAGGTGCTGAAGGAACACACCCCTCAGCGCTGAGGCGGGGCGGCTGCTTGCGCTGTCGGCCTCAGCGGCGGCGACAGGCGCGCCCGACAGCTGTGAGGCCTGCAGCCGCTCGCTCTGGCGCCGCAGTGCCTGCTGCCTGTTGTGCTCTGCTCGCGCCCTCTGCTCCGAGGTGAGTTGACTGCTAGAAGGTTGCGGCGCTGCCTGCGCCTGCGGCAGCGACTGGGCGCCTGCTGCCTGGGGTGGGGCAGAGCCAGCGCCCTGCCAGCGTCCCCAGCTCTCCTGCAGTGGGGGACCCAGACAGGGGGCTTGTGTTGAGGAGGTGCTGAATGGCTTGCAACCTTGTTCCGGCGCTTACCTGCATTGGATGCGCTCTCCTCCTGCCTCAGCAACGAATCTACGACGCGCAGGGAGGGGTGGGCTTGGCATATGCCAAAGTGTACTGCGGCTGCTGCAATACGCATCCAAGGAGCTCGTTTCGGCGCGCAATCACCGGCAGTGCTGATGTCGGCGTGCCCGATCTATATGTACTTGAGGTGCTTGCAGCCCCAAGTTGCACTGCCGTAGACATGGCGGCGAGAGTCGCACTGTCGGCCTGCAGCAGGAGGCCAGTGCCCTTTACAGGAGCCAAGAGTCAGCACAGGAAGCACTGCCGGCTGACGGTGGCAGCGACACAGGCGGCTGACGGCGGCAGCGGCACGGGCGGGAGTGGCGGCAGCAGCAGCGAAGTGGCCGACCAGCGGCAGCAGCAGGAGGTGCAGCCGCCGCGACGGCGCGAACTGTTGCTCAGCAGTGTGCAGCTGGCTGTCCTGGGAGCGATGCCAGGGTCTGAGGATGGCCGCACCATCCTGAACAGCGTCCTGGGTGCGTCCTGCGGTGCTCTTGCGCTCGTTGCTGCTAGCAGCGCCCACCTCTCGTCGCCATCGTTGACTTTCAAACCACACCCCAACAGGTGCTTATGGACTGCCTCAGCTCAAAGCCACGCCCGGCTTCCGTGTGTTTGACGATCCGGAGGAGCCCTTCACGTTCGACTACCCTGGTACGTGCCACCCAACAGCGCCGCTGTGTGCCAAGGCGTGCCTGGCAGGGCATCAGGCTGGAGGCTTGGGCGCCCCCGTCTGCTGCCTTGACCGCCCGTGTTACCTCCCCGCCCCTGCCCCTGCCCCCGGGCCTCCATGCGCAGCCTCCTGGGTGCGTCGCAAGAACACGCTGCGGCAGGGCATCATCATTTCAGACTTCAACACCGCGGACAAGATGAGCCTGGAGGTGTTCCCCCAGCCGCCCGCGGGCGCCTCGCTGGCCGAGGCGGCCGTGCTCAAGCTCATCAACCCGGCCGCCGAGGTGGGCGGCAACTCGCGGCTGGAGCTGCCCCCCGCGTCGCGCATCCGGAGCGAGGCCAGGGAGCTGGGTGGCAAGGTGGGGCGCCCAGTCCGGGTGTGTGTGGGGAACGCAGGGTCGGGCCGCAGGCGGCGGTGCCTGCCCGCCAGCTGCAGTCCCGTCTTCCACCCCACCCTGCTGCTCCCAAACCCACCAATGAACACGCCACACTCACCAGCCACCCACCTAAATCACACACCCCTCCTGCCTGCCCGCAGGCCTACACCTACCTGGCCTTCCCCTCGGAGACCATCACCCGCAGCGGCTACCAGGTGCGGCGCAGGCACGTGGCGGTGGCGGCGACGCGGCGCGGCTCGGTGTACGTGCTGGGCTGCAGCGCGCGCAGCGACCAGTATGATGCCGCCAAGGAGCGGCTCTTCCAGCATGTGGTGGACAGCTTCCGCCTGCTGTAGCTGCAGCTACCGAAGAGCAGGCTGCTACTTGGTGTACCAGCTCACGACCTGGACAGCTTCCGCCCGCGGTGGCGGCCGGCTGGGCAGTGTGCACCGCCATGCCGGCCTGCTGGTCAGCGACCGAACGAAGACACGACTGGGCGAGCGTGCGTGTTGAGTAGCTGTGACCTGCCGCAGTTTTCAGATAGGGCGGCCCTGTGGAGCGGGGCAGGGTGCTGATTGCCAGGGCAGGCCGTGAGCGGCAGCGGCCGTCTGAGCGTGAACCTGTACTGAGGGCGTTGTGACCTGATACTGTTGCATATGGGATGATTTGACAAGAAGACGTGACAGGCATCAAGTTGTGGTGAATGCAAGGCCCGTTACTGGGGTCCCTGAGCAGCGCTACAGTGGGCATGCTGCATGCCAGCAATCAATAGATAGACGACGCGGGGTTGTATCGTGGCCAAGGGCAGGGAACCATAGCAAAAGGTATGATGGGGCAAAGTGATCGACGGGATCAAATGGTGTGGCCCTGCCATTTAAGCTGCAGGGCTATGCATTGGCTTGGGCATGGGAGATACCAAGAGTGGCGCAATGGCATTGTTATGCCAGGGCTGGAAGAAGGCAACAATGCCAGTTTGGGGCAGGAAAAGCTGATGGTCGTGGCCAGAAAACCACACGGTTGGAGGGCGGACGTTTGTTCAATGGTAGATCAGTAGAGGCCCAGATGCCTGTCACGATTGTTCGGCTGGACAACATGCTGCTGCTGCTCGGCGTCGGACAGCAGCATAGAGGCTGCCAGCTTTGCACCTGTTTCATTGTTGCTGAGGCGGTACACTACCCCCCTGCCTTCATTCCCGGCGGCCGGCCCCTGCCACGGTCTCACACGCGGGCAAGTGGGCAGGCTGGGTGAGCTTCAGACTGGCGTATTGCTGGAGGCTGAATACCTCTTGCTCGCCGCACAGGCTGGCCCTCAGCCGCACGCCGCCCAGCGGCACAAGCATAGAACCAAAAGAGGGCGGCAGGGCTTTCTTCATGTCGGCAGTGACCTGCAGGCAGCCGGGGCTTGCAGCTGCGGTGTGTGTGGCAAGCGTGTTGCTGCCAGGGTGTCTTGGCTTGTACTGCGTGTGCTGTGCATGGTCTCACCATGAAAGGAACTTCGGTCTGGGTGTTAAGCAGCTCCCTTGCCACCGCCACGGCGCGCCCCACCATCTGCACACACACACACACACACACACACACACACACACACACACAGGCGCAGCAGCAGCGACCGTCAGCCGCACAAAGCCGATTGTTGCGCCAAAGGAGCGGCCAGGCAATCGCAGACCAGCCAGGTGCCATGCCCTGCCGACTGCCCACCTGGTATGTGAGGCTTGCGGTGCCCAGCAGGCCGCTGCAGGCGGGCCCGCTGGTCAGCACCAGGCGCAGATCCAGCGGGATCTGGCAAGGAAGCCGAATCTGCAGGCAGGCAGGCAGGCAGGCAGGAAGCCGTGTTAGCTGGCGTGCACTCCCGCACCCGGCAGGGCACCCTGCTTTCCTCCACACGAGCATGCTGGACAGCTGGGAGGGCGGCGGCGCCGCCGTCACTCACGCTGTGGGTCGCCTGACGCAGGTCCAGCGCAAAGCGCAGCAACACGGCGGCATGGTTGATGCTTGGCTCTGCCACGCCGGTGCTGATCATGAAGCCGTGGGGGCCGCCGTAGAGCTTGTACACGCTGTGCCGCTCAGCCACCGCGTCAAGCAGGAGGTAGAAGCGGTGCAGCCAGTGGAACTGGTCGTGCGGCGGCAGGCTGAGCAGGGCATGCTCGCTGCCAATCCTGCACAAAGGGATGAAGTGTCACCGCAATGACAAGCAGGAAGAGCTTTGAGGCGAAGAAATGTAGGAGGCTGCTTGTGGATGCAATCACAAGCAAGACATGCAAACAGCAGGAATAGGGAGAGGCGCCGACGAGGGAGAGGCGCCGACGAGCGCCTGCCGGCGGCGGTAGGCAAACGCACGTGCCGAGCAGAGCGCTGCAGGCCTCGTGCTCTTCCTGCACCTGCACACACACGGCAACAGGATAGCAGGCCATATGAGCGCGCGGCGGGCCCTCCACCGCTTCGTCTCCCGCGATCCTCATGGACGCCCACCAGAGGCTTGACGCGAGTCCACCGCTCCACCGGTAGTACAGCAGCTGCTCCCATTGACGTGGCAGCTGGGGGGCCGGGCCAGGGGCCCTGTGGCTCTCGGCTACTGTAGTGTTGCACCACCGGAGCCCCGGGAAGCAATGCGGCTTCAACCACAAGCTTCCAGAGAAGTGGGAGAAAATGCAGACAAGTGAGGGAAACTGGGCAATGGCCAGCGCGGGGGACTAAGTGCAACCTGTGCGAGTGCCCCTTCATTTCAAGCAACTTTCCGCAACTCTACATATGAGATCGCATGGCTTCCAGGGGCAGCAAGGCCGCTACACCGCCCAGAAACATGGGCTAGGAAGCACCGCCGGCAGGGCACCGCCCGCCCGCCACCCCGCCTGCCGCCGCACCACGTTGCGCAGGCATCCCCTCGGCCCAAGATTAGCCCGGCGCTGCAATGGAGGGTTGCCCCTGTGTGCAGTGCCATATTACGCTCTTAGACCCCTCGTCTTCTGCATGACTGGGCGCCGCACACAGGAGGTGCTGCCTTGCCGAGCACGGAGCGCCACAGCCAGAGCAAAACGCACAGAACCAGAGAGAGCGGAACAGGAGAGGAAGGGAGGAATGTCCCTATGCAGCGTTACATCCTACACGAAGAGAAGGCCCACTTGTTGATGCCATATGCCGGCGGCTGCAGGCGTGCCGGCACAGCCAAACGGCCTGCGGCGCCGTGCTGCGCGCCGTGCCGCGGCGCCGCGGCGCCGCTCAGTCAAAGTGGATGTGGGTGCCGCGCGGCTCGGGCAGGCCGCGCAGGAAGGTCTTCTGTCGGGGGCTCACCGCCGCCACCTCGCCGTCGTCGTCAAACCTGATGTGGGTCCCCGCTGGGGTGGGCAGGCCCAGCAGCGGGCCATGCGTGCCAGGCTCCAGGCTCAGCGCGCCCAGCACACCCGCCAGCTCATCCCCCACGGCCTGCCAGCAGGGGCAGCGCGGCAGCGGGCTCAGCCAGCAGCAGAGGCGGCGCGGCAGCCGGCCAGGCAGCCGCAATGCATCCCACCCATGTGCGCATACCGCAATGCACTGGTCTTGGTGCGGCCAGGAAAGCCCAGCCTGGGCACCGCCCCGCATCGTTCAGGCCACACTCACCGAGGTGCCAATGTACTGCTCCCCATCCTCGCCCTCGTCCTCCGATTCCACCTCAGCCTGCTTGGCCGCCAGCCGGTCTGCCACCTGGCGCTTGAGCTGGCGCAGCGACCTGCGGGAGCGGGCACGCAAGCACATACACACCATGGGTTGAACGTCGGCGGGGTTAAAGGAGAGGGAGCGTGCGTTGAAGGAGAGGGGGCATGCTGGCTTGCATGGCCGCAGCCTCAACCCCGCTATGCAGGCAGCTGCGTGGCGCTGGGCTGTGCTGCGGGGCTCGCCTGGGGTCGAACACGCCGGGGCTGGGTACCACGACCTTGGACGCCAGGCGCGGCTTGGCGGCAGCCTCCTCACCCGCCGCCATCTCCTCATCCTGCACTGGTGTCGGCTCGGCGGGCGCAGCCGGGCCCGCCGTAGCCGCCTCCTGCTGCTGCTGCCCCTCCGCCTCCTCCACCCGCATGATGTAGTCCTGCAAGAAGGAAACACAGGAGGAAAACAGGAAACAGCAGTTGGCAGCACACTCACCGGATAACTGCATGGGAGGTGAGCAGACATACGAGGTGAGCAGTCACAGTCCGCGCGTCCTGCCTGTCCTCTGCTTGGCAGCCCGCCCAGGCCCCCCACCTGCTTCTCCTCCTCCAGCACAACCTGACGAGCAGGGGTGAGCGGGTGCGCCTTCTGCACGGTGCGCACCACCGGCGCGGCGGCAGCGGCGCGCGCGGCGGGGCGTGCCGCCGAGGCGGCCGAGAAGGTGGGCGTGGGCTCCCCGGGCGTCTCCTCGCGGTCTGCAGCCCCAACATAGAGGCACACACCGGATGATTCAGCGCCACACCCAGCTGCGCACCGTCGAGCAGGCAGGTGCCCTCAACAGCTCAGCAGCAGCCTCCCCCCGGCCGCAAGGCCCCCTCTCCACCAGCAGCAGCCTGCCACCCCAGCAGCACCCTCAGGCCCTCACCCCAGGGGAAGGGCGTGCCCATCATCTCCTCCAGGGTCAGCTCCCGCTCAAAGCCCTGGCCCTCTGCACCAACCGGCCCAGGGGGAGAAGGAGGGAGGGGAGGGAGGGTGGCGACAGGTGAAGGAGCGGCTCACGAGCGCCAGGGAAGTGGCCCTCTGCTGCGCATGTGTGTGGCAGGCAGGGGTAAGGGAAGGCGAGGGGCACATGCCGCCCAGCAGAAGCATGCGGCGTGCCATGCGTGGCGCAGCGGGAGCACCTGCGGACGCGGGGCTGTCGCCGCAGGCGGCGTCGCACTCCAGGCCTGCCGCCGCGGCCGGGATGGCAGCGCCGATGGACACGGCGGCAGCCTCCGGAGAATCTGCGCCCGCTTTCAGCGGCGAGCCAAAGCCGTGGAACAGAAGGTCGGCCTGCTCGCCAGCGCCTGCCGCGGACTGCTGCTCGGGCTGCGCGGCGGCGGCGGCGGGCGAGTCGCCGCTGCCCAGGGCCTGAGCGCGGCGTTGGCAGGCGGCGGCGTTGGCAGGTCGGACACGCGCAGCAGGCTGGCTGGCAAGCAGGAGACAAGCAGGCTGCCGCATCTCTGCGCAGGCGCGTGCAGGCATTGCAGAGCACCAGCCGTACCTGAGCGGCGGCGTGCAGGGCTGAGGTCACCTTGGAGGGGTTGCTGGCGTCCACGCCGATGAGAGGGGTGGCGGCGGGCGTCTTGGAGTGGAGCGACATGGCCAGCAGGGGGCTCATGGGCGGCAGGTTGGACAGGCCGAGGCCGGTGGGCGTGGCGCCCGGCGCCGCGGGCTCGGGCGAGGCCGGCACCGACTGCGCGGGCGTGGCGGGCGGCTCGTCGCCTGCGGCGGCCTGCGCCTGCTCATGCGGCTCGGGGCTCTCGGGGCGGGCAGCGGCGGCGGGTGCGGCGGCGCCCTCCTGCGTGGCGGCAGTGGTTGGCGAGTGAGAGAACAACAGGGAAGCCTGGACCACGCAGTGCAGAGACGCAGTGCAGCGGCTTGCCTGCTCGTTGGTCACGTCAAACAGCACGACAGGCGCCACGGCTTCGCCGCTGGGTGCCGCCGCTGCAGCAGCTGTCGCGCCCGCCGCCGCCGCGCGGCGCCGGGTTGTCCTGGCCGTGCCTGCGGTCTTCTGGTCCGGCAGGCCAGACACGCAGGCTGCGAGGAGGAACAGGGGGAGGCAGGGCTTCGGGCTAGGAGCTCCTCACCCATCACCAACTGTGGGCATGCGTTCCAGCCCGGCGGCAGCGGGGCGCAAGTGGCTCCCAACGCCAAGTAACGGCCTCTGGAAACTCACGCGTCTCCCCGGTGGCCGCAATCGTGCGGGCCCTTGAACGTGTCACTCTATCCGTGTTCATTGCCGCGGGCCGGGGGTTCGGGGATGGGAGGGAGGTTGGGATGCAGCCGAGGGGATATGCGGGAGCAATGGAAGAGGAGGGGGCGCGGTTTGTTTTTGAGTGCACGCGCCGTGCTGTGCTGTGCTGCCGCCGCCCCCAGGTGCCCCCAGGTGCGGGCAGCCTGGCACTTCTGATCTCACCCTGGCTGCAGGATTGCAAATAAAGCTCGCCATTTTTATCCATCCATCCCACTTCTAGCTCCATAAATACTGCTGGCTCCATGAATGTTGACATCTGTTGCCCGCTGATGTGGCACCTCCCCCGATTCGTCTGGCTCATCAGGCACGCTCTCTCCCGCGATCCCTCCCTTTCCTTCGCCTTTCAGAGTCTCTAAGGCTTCTATTTCTCCCCTCCCGCACCCCGCAGCTGCCGCAAATTTAAAATTATGAACCAACCTGTCATCCTTTATGCCTTAGAACGGCGCCAAAACGGCGCCAAGAATGTGTTTCTCACTAAGTCAGATGTAGAGGGCATCATCCGGATCAAGCAGGGCGACCAGCAGGCGCCCTCAGGCCGGCGGCGGCGGGGTGCGGGAGGGGGGGCGGCAGTGCAGGGCAGCGCCAAGAACTACAGCAAGAAGGTGCTGCAGTTCTTCCAGGTGCTGAAGGGCGCTGGCGGTCAGGACATCCTGTGCCGCTGCGTCAAGCGCAGCGGAGAGTGGCGGTGGTGCCCCGTGGTGCCGCTCGAGGAGCTGCCCCGAGTGATCAAGGAGCACCACGAGCGGGCGACTGGCTTCAGCGGTGTGGAGAAGCTGTACACACATGTGAGTGATACAAGGGGTGCAATGCTGCCGCCAGACCAACTGGAGAATGCTCTGCATCAGGCAGCAACCGGATGCATCGCAGCAAGCACGGGGGGTGCGGCACGGCCAAGGTGGCGCTGCCCTCCTCTCCATCTATCCCTCCTTCCCTCCCTCACGCCGCGCACTCCCCTGGTCCTCCTTTGCTGCTCTGCTGCCTTTCCTGCAGCTGGCCTACAACGCACCCACCGAGCTGGCAGCTGGTGCTGACGGCAAGGTGCCCTTCCTCTACGGCCTGGAGGGGTTTGACCGTGCCGTGATCAGCATCTTCATCTTGGGCTGCCCCGTGCGTGCCGACCAAGCACCACTGAAGCCTGCCGAGCAGCCTGCCCCGCACCCCATCGTGGTGGACCGTGCGTTCCAGCAGTGCCAGGTGCGCATGCTGGTGACAGCAATTGTGTGGCTCAGCTGGAGCAGCCATTTTGCTTTTACTTAGGGCTGCTGCTCACCGACCCACAGCAAACCTGCCCGCCATGCTGAGTTCCATGCGAGATTCCCCCCGTTACCATGCCGCCCCTCTCCCCATCCGCATCCCTGTGAGAAGGTGGACCTGATCGACCTGGGCGAGGGCCGCGACCCCAAGTACCGCTACATCATGAGCTATGTGGACCTCTTCACCCGCCACGTGTGGCTCCGTGCGCTGGCCTCCAAAAGGCCGCATGGGGTTGCCCGCCAGGTGAGCGCCTGGCAATCTGCTGCTGGATTATTGCAGTATCAGAAAAGCGTGGGAGGCAAGGGCAGGAAATGAAGGTAGCTAATCGCTGCCCTGCCCGTGGTGCATTGCA